AATCAATTCATTATATTGATATTCCTAATCAATTCATTATATTAATATTCCTAATTAATCTTATTCCTAATTAATTCATAATATTGATATTACTAAATTTCCATTTTTCATTTGCTTACCAAATAAGCTTTATTAAGTATTTGACCAATAAAATATAAAATATATTTAATTAATTTGACTACAAAAGTTTGGGCGGGAAAATGGAATAGGAGGATTTTACTTTTATATATATATAGATATAGATATATAGATTACCAATTACCAATTAAAATTAGAGCTACAATTTTACATTTGCTTACCAAAAAATTATATATAGATACTTAATTTATATTTGAAGAATATATTTACCTAATTTACTTTATATACAGTAATAAGTATGTCTACACATAAATGAATAATATATAATATATAATTTCAATATTTTGATAATTAATTAAATTAGAAAATTAGGATATTATATAAATGCGGCTAAGTTTTGGTGGAAAATTTATATGGTTTTTATATTATTATTATTATTATTTTTATTTTATTATGCTTACATTATTTCATAAGATTTTTATTATATTTGAACAATAATATTTTCAATTATATTATAAAATATAATACCATACATAATATTACCAATTATGTAATATAACAATTAATAGATTTTATTTAATTTCCATTTGACATTTACTTACCAAATAAACTTTACTACAAAAGTTTTGGGGGAAAAATTTGTTAGGAGGATTTTACTTTTATATATATATAGATATAGATATAGATATAGATATATAGATATAGATTTTCTCCCATTCCCACATTCTCTTTTCTAATCACTCTTACATTATCCCCAATTCTCCCCAACCATTGTGGATGCTCTTATAGGGAAGCAAGTGGAGAGCATGTGATACTTCTAATATATTTAATGTTGACATGAATGAGGGAGGTAGTGGAGAGAGAAATTTGGGGAGCTTTGCATGAGTTGAGAGAATGGGAGAATTGTAGGGCCTAGCTAAAAAGCAACCAAACGTGACAGCCAATTGTGACTGTCACGAGTGCACCCAGCGGGCGCGTGCAATGCTCGGCGCGTCAGGCGCGCCGACCGGCACGCCTGACTGCCTTTTTTTTTTTTTTTTTTTTTTTTTTTTGTACTTTTTGTATTTAGTTTTGTAGTTTTGTTTTGTTTTTTTCTCTCCCCTCCCACTTTCTCTTTCCTAGTCACTCTTACATTCTCCCCACTAATATTCCCACTGATAAGGATGCTCTTAGAGCAATCACATTTGTGATCTTTTTGGAGTTTTTTTATATCTAAAAGTCAAATGTTCGAACTGCAGTGGTGGAGACTTAGATTTTTTGTGTTGAAAATGTTTGAGAAAGTATAGAACAGATACTACCTTGTAAAGAAATAAAGAAATTTGCCTTTCACCTCGCGTGAAGTAGATGTACATTCAGCACAAAATAATGTACATTGTATTCAGAGGATGTACATTATATTGTATAATGTACATTCAGTACAAAAATAATGTACATTTAGTATATTAAAAATGTACTTTATGTTATGGTCCACGTAACATGGTCCACACAATAATCTCCCCGACATTTGTGGGTCCCACTATGAGAGAGAAAATTATAGAAAAGCAAAAGAAATGCGTGTTTCGCGCACAGATGCTGCCAGCCGGGCGCGTGTAGCACACACGCGCCGACTGGCGTGTTTACAAGTCTCTTTATTTTTTTTATTTTTTATTTTTTTTGGTTTCCTTTGACAGTTTATTTTGCTTTGTTTTTTTTTTTTTTTTGTTTTTTTTTTCTCCCGCATCTCTATCCTACATGGCTTCTTAATTCTTTTGCAAAAAAAAAAAAAAAAATCTATTGAAGATGCCCTTAGAAAAAGATTTGGTGAACTTATGTGGAGGAGAGAGAATGAAGATAGAAAAGAGTTGGGTATCTCACTATCTCTTGGAAATATGATTTTTTGTGGGGCCCGTTAATAGAGAGAAAATGGAATGAGAGGTTGGGTTCAATCATTATATTGTGGACCATGGTTCACAAAAAAGGGCTCCGTTTTTTGTTTTTTTTTTTGTTTTTTTTTTTAAGTAAAGAAATTGATGTCGTTACATATTAACGGAGCCCGTATTTTTGTTGTGTTAATTATAAAATGAAATTGTTGTGTATCTAAAATGAAACTATCTCACATATTGTTTTTATATTATCAAATGAAATTATAATTGAATTGAAATGAAACTGCAGTGTGTATAAAATGAAATTGAATAACAGTTTCACATATTTGAGTGCATATTGTCCAATAAAACTGTAGTTATATCGAAATGATAATGTAATTGTGTTGTAATGAACTATAGTGTTTATAAAATAAAAACTGAATAACAATTTCACATATTTGAGTATATAATGTCGAATGAAACTGTAGTTATATCGAAATGAAATTGTAGTTGTGTTGAAATGAAACTGTAGTGTATATTGTCAAATGAAACTGTAGTTATATAGAAATGATACTGTAGTTGTTTTGTAATGAAACTGTAGTGTATATAAATTGAAATTGAATAACAGTTTCACATATTTGAGTGTATAGTGTTAAATGAAACTGTAGTTATATAGAAATGAAAGTGTAATTATGTTGAAATGAAACTGCACTGTATTTAAAATGAAATTGAATATGTTATACAAACAGAGCTACTTTATGCAAAACGGCATATGCATTTTCTTTTAATTAAAAGAAACGACACCATTTTGAACCATGATGCAAGGTATAATTTACCCAAATTTGTAGTCCCATTACATAAATGTCAAAAATCGACAAAGCCCAAAAGAATGTTGGGCTCACAGGGCCAAACCCAAACTGCAATCAAATCCCATTAACCTCCAACTATATATTTCTTCGCTTCCTAGGGTTTTCAACAGATTCAGCTCAGCTGCTACACTCGTCGGAGGCTTTCCTTTCTCCCCAACCGGCAAAAGCAGCCATGGTCAGCTCGCCGTTTTCTTGAAGCTTTCAATTTCCTCTCTGTATTTACATATTCGTACGTATATGGCTGGTGATATGTATTCTAAATAATATCTGTTCTTGTTTTCTTTCAGATTATTTCAGAGAAGAACCGGAGAGAGATCTGCAAGTACCTCTTCCAAGGTCAGTCTCTGAGCTTACCAATTTAGTATATGTATGTAATGTGTTTGTGAAATTGTCTTCTTTGGATGATGAAGAGGGAGTGTGCTATGCGAAGAAAGATTACAACTTGGCGAAGCATCCCTTGATCGATGTGCCCAACCTTCAGGTTATTAAGCTTATGCAGAGCTTCAAGTCGAAGGAGTACGTGAGGGAGACTTTTGCTTGGATGCACTATTACTGGTACCTTACGAACGATGGGATTGAGTTCCTGAGGACTTACCTCAATCTCCCCTCTGAAATTGTCCCTGCTACTCTCAAGAAATCTGCCAAGCCACTCGGCAGGCCCATGGGTGGCCCTCCTGGTGATCGCCCACGGTAAATATTGTTTTGTTTAGCAAACCATTTGTGGGGTTTAGTTGATTCATGTGGTAGTGTTGGAAAGTTGCTGACTTTTGTTGCATTCTAATTGGATTTGGTAAATATAGTTTTGTTTAGCAAACCATTTGTGGGGTTTAGTTGATTACTGCGGTAGTGTTGGAAAGTTGCTAACTTTTGTTGGTTTTCAATTGGATTTGTAGTGGACCTCCGAGATTTGGCGATGGAGAGAGGAGGTTTGGTGACAGGGATGGGTATCGCAGTGGCCCTAGAGGTCCTCCTGGTGAGTTTGGAGGAGAGAAGGGTGGAGCTCCGGCTGATTACCAGCCTGCTTTCAGGGTAATTCCTCTTTCTTTAATCCTTTGTAATTAAAAATTGGCTTCCTTTTTTGCTTTGCCAAGCTTTTACTTCTTCATTGAGGTTAATTAGGTACTTCGTTTCATTACTGTTTCTCTATTTTATTGTTGTGCATTCAGCTGTTTTTAGTTTCACTTCTATTCTAGATAACCTGGCATGATCAAGTTTAGAAACCAGGTTTTCGTAAATTTCCAGCAAGTGCATACATAGATAAAGCAAATGCCAATATTCATATTCTACTTTTCTACATCTTTCATTCAAAATTTTTCATGATTGATAGATTGATTGACATAATATATATTTGCTAGTTAATTTCAATGAATAGTTACCAATTTGATAGTGCCATTGTTAGGGGAAATGAAATGATACGAGAGTTTACCTTTCTTGGATGACAACTTTTCAAACTTGAAAGTATCCTCTTGACAAGAATGTGTTATTTTCTATGGTTTTAGAATTTTTCATTTATACATGGAAACACTTCAACTGTTTAGTTATGGAGAATGTAGTGTTAATAAGGAAGTTTGAATCTTAACCACTGGTTTTTACTTGTAGGGGTCTGGTGGAAGGCCTGGATTTGGACGTGGTGCCGGAGGATTTGGAGGTGGTGCTCCCCCAAGCTCTAGCTTCTCCTCCTAGATAATATGCTCATTTCCTTAGGTGCATAGCCATTACAGCTTAGAACATCAGAGGCAATGTGAGCTATTGTTTGAGCGTTTATTCCCGTGTTCAAGTACACTATTTGAATGTGATGTTTTCACAATTTTGTATGCTTGTCAAAACTATACATTTTGGATATCATCCTTTACTTTATTCTGTTTTGCTACCATGTTTACAAGGATTTGAACTTGGTTTTCTTCCCTTAAGATTCTTAGGTGTTCTTCAAATCTAAACTTCCTTTGATCAAAACCCAAAGCTAAATCCACCTTCTATTGTATCAATGCACAATGCTATAGAATTGTAAGCAATCTTAGTCGAGTAATTACAAAGTTAGTTTTAAGTCAATCAGTTATGAACAATATAAGTTGATCTATCAACTTTTTTTATTTGAGTTGATCAGTCGTGATTAACTTAAATTGGTCTATTAGCCTTTTAGTTCAAGTCTGGTTAAGGTCACAAAACCAAGTCAATTAAGCGGGTTTATTGGTTAAGGTCACAAAACTATATTTTTTAAATTTTTCTTGCTATTTAGAGATTCAAGTTCCAACCTAACAAAAAGCTAGTGGCCCTGTTTGGTAAATAGGTAAGTTAATTTTTATTTTTTAACTCCTATTAATTGTTTGGTTAATTAGTCTTTTGTAATTCTAAAATTTTAAAATTCAAAAAGTTGTTCAAAGTAATTTTTTCAATTAACTTTTAAAAAAAAAAAAAAATTATATTAAATAGTTATCAATTAACAACTAATTTATCAACCACTTTTCTACCATCGGCTAATGTTATGAACTAGTTATACCCTTTAGTTAACCTAATCAAGTAACAACAGCTATCAGCTAACGGCCATTTACCAAACATGACTGGTATGAAAAACAGTTTGATAAATAAGCATTTTGTTCATAAATCTCTAAATGCCAAAAACTTCATTTGCACTTCTTATTTCATCTCTTTAAAGGTCCCCCAGAGCCTTGATAAGAAAGGCATATTCATAGGCTGCTTCTTCGCAATGGCCAAGATGGCCACCTTCGCTAAAATGTCCTCCATTCATATCCGTTTGTAGGATAACTGAACCACAACACCTTGAACATGCTTCGTCTCGGATCTTGGCAACCCATTTCGCAGCTTCCCAGACACCAACTCTTAAGAACGAACAGACAGTTATGCGTTCTGTTTCAACTAAAAGACAACAGAAATGAACGATATTATGTAAATAGGGTTACCTGGAGTCATTATACGAGGCTGTGACAAGCGTTGCGGGAAAGCATAGTTCATGAGAAATGTTATCGTAAGGAGAATACTTCAGAATATAATTGAAGTAAGACTCAATCTGAGGATTCCCAAATTCTTCATAGTCCAAGATTGTGAGAGGTAAAGTGGGATCCAATAATGTATTGCATATATCAAGGAAAGGAACCTGCAAAAATAAGTTTGACAAAACAAGCAACTTAAGCGATACGCTAAACATGGAATTCCATTAATGAACAGATAAATAAACCTTCAAAACTGCGGCTTGAAATAGTCCGGGATGTAATCCGATGGCTGCTCCAACGAGAAGACTTCCCGCGCTAATTCCAGCAGCACCGAGTTTGTTTCCATGTGCATAGCCCTCGTTAACGAGGTAATGTCCACAGGAAACAAAGTCGTGAATAGAGTTTAACTTGTTCAATCCACTCCCGAATCTATGCCACGAGGGATGAGGACCGCCACCGCCACCTCTGCACCAGATTGAGAACTCATAAGAAAACATCTCCTAACCCGTGTTGAAAAATACGCTAGGCGCCCGATTTTTTATTTTTTATTTTAATTTTTATTATCATTTAAAAAAAAAAAACCGGGATTCGGCCGCCTAGACCGCCTAGGCGGCCGGCCGCGGAGGAGGCCGATTTCGGCGTTCCTCGACACGGCCGGGCGCCGCCTAGGCGCGATTTTTGCAACACTGTTCCTAACATAACATCATAAAATGGTGCGGGGTCATCATGATTTACCCGAATTACCCCTCCACAATCCTGTCGGGCTGCAATGTGGGGGGCTGGGGTAAGCAATTCCACCTTTTGTCACAAGAAGGCAAAAATGGTGTCAAATCGTTTACTTACCTAACATCGGCAAACGCTATTGCCCAACCACGATCAAGTAGGGATAAACGGTCGGCACACCAGCTTTTGTCCACAATCTCACCGTACGCTCCATATGCATGCAGAAGTGCAGGAGACCGACCCTTTCGATGTGCTTTTCGGGAGAACAAGATAGTCAAAGGAATCCTCACTCCATCATGGGAGATAACTTCTTTACTTTCACAAGCATAGATTCGAGAAACATCTCTCCATATATGCCCTTCGGTTTTTTGAATCTCACATCCCCGCCTATCCTCCAGTCGATTGTCGTTCCTAGAGGAGATATTCGTTAATTCCTCTTGCATCACAACATTGGACGATTTCCTTGACATATCATAGTCAACAATAACATCAGGCATCTACAACTCAAAAAAGACGTTTCTAAGCTTAGCACGACACTTGGCCTTTTAGTTTTGGATGGTCGTAATAAGGTGGATAGAACAGTACCACTGGAGATGAAACAATAACACGGTATACTGAGTTCATGAAATCGTGGTTAGAGCCCGGAGATACCGAGCACATATCCGAGGGGAGAGGAAAGAACCATGGACTTAGATCCTCGATGTCCTTTTGTTTCTGCAAGGCAACTCAACATCAATTAGAAATACCACAACATAGTATCAAAATGTCTAACCTAAAACTAAGAATGTACCTCACAACTGACAATAGTTTTCATCGGAATGGAACATATCGACGAGGAACCCTCTTTGTCGACAAAAAGCACTAGATGTTCGTTAAACATATCCATATCTTTCAAGAAAATATCTCCACTTGGTACAATGATGTTCTACAAGAAAGATAAAACTGTCATACGAGAAAATAAAAACAAAAAACATAACATAGTACGCCATATAAACATATGTCAAATGTATCTACTGCTTAGACAAAGGAACAGAAAATTACTTGCAAATTGGTTGACTGAGAATTTTCTACCCGGCATCTAGCCAAGTAAAAATTCCCACTTTCAGGCAAGGCCATATCGTCAATAATAGGAGCATTCGTAAGGACATAAAAATAACCACGATGATGTTCCAAGAAGTATTGTACACCCGAGACACGGTTACAAAATTTTTTAAGTCCCGTTTGTGGATTGGTTGCATTTATGAAATAAACCTGCAGTAAGACCATGAACGAGAAAATTATTCCAACGAGCTAATTAATTCCTATATCAACAGAAAGAAACGACTGAGATGAAAAAGGTAAAATTTCTTTCCTCGGATGAAGTCCTCGAATTAGAATTCATAGTAATAAATTTTCCATCTTTTGTACTTGCAATATCTAAACAGAAATTGGAATCATTTTCAGTGAACAGTGCTTCATGATCCATACAATCTGATCCAAGACGTAAGCTCTGTAGCCTGGTAAATTCCCATAAGGATAATAGTCATAACATATAAGAAGATCTAAACGTAAATTGTTAGTCAAACTAGTAAAGAATTTTGCCTGTATGGTCGTTGTTGTTGGTCAGTCAATGTATAGAATAAAGTACGAGCATCTTGAGCCCATTCCAAGCTTACGACTCCATTGATATTCAAATTCGGAAGAACACAGTCACTTCGAAGATCTTTAATTTGAAGCACAAACTCCTCACCACCACTAATATCAATTGTGTACGCTAGGAAATTATGGTCCGGTGAGACTCGACATGTACCTACATGAACATATCCTGCAAGGTATATACAGACAAGAAAAATTGAAAATAAAACTTATAAAGAGAACTCCTAAACTTCTTCAAAACCTATCCAAAAAATTATTGTTAAGAGATCTAAAGAGTAAAGAAATACCATAATTTTCAGCAATCTCATTCCAGTCAAGCAATATGTCCTCTTTCTTATATGCACTTCTTATACGATTGGCTATTGTCCCCATCCAACCTTTACTATCAGCAGCCAACTTCCTACATAAGACGGGAAACTCCTTCCCTTCTGGAATGTACTGGTAGTATATCCTATTTAATTTCACAAGTAATGGACACCAATATAAAAAAAAAAAAAAATCACATTAAAACACAAGAAATTCATTAAAGAAAGTTGTATTAATCCTTCATTTACATAGTAAGAATATTTCAGCCAAGGAGTTTGGTTCTTCTTCCAAAGAATCGAAAAATTGTTCCCTCAATGCAAGTTTTGAGACTGGAAACACTTGCTAAATTTGCTTAAATCTCTGAATAGTAAATGCAGGTTTTAGAAGCAGCATATTGCAAAACTGAACCAGAATGTTAAAGTTAAACCACAACTTATCAGCTTCTTTGCATTATGCAATTAAGGAGGTTCTTTCCCTGAATTATAAATCTTTACCACTAAAGTTACCAACTTTAGCTGATTCTGACACAATCTTTCAAAATGCCCACAAATTAGACTCACTACTCATCCTAACTATCAAAATAATATAAAAAAACACTTCACAGTTATATTAAGCATGGAGAAAATGAACAAACCAGGGACCCCAGGGTTCAGGAGGGGTGAGAATTGTGGAGGGCATTCTAGAAATCATCTCAGTGTACAGAGTCTTCTGCACCTCGTGAGTGTCCTCCATGAAAGCCTCGGCATAGGAGTTCTCTTGCTGGAGATAGGTGATGAAATCCGGGTCATCCCGGTTGCGCATCCAGTGATACGGGTCGACCCAGGACTTCCCATGTGCGGAAACCGTGAAAGGAACTTTCTTGGCCACCGGAGGTGTCTGGCCGCCGATTGGGCGGAGGTGCTGACGGCCAAGAGTGGAGAAGGGAGAAGAGGATATGTAGGGGATTAATCTTGACGGAGAGGGTAAAAGCGTCTTTATAATTGACTTCCTAGTTGTAAATATTATAGCCATGAAAAATGGCGAGGACGGTTCTCGACGGAGGCGGATTACTGGTCGGCCGTCCGGGGTGGAGGCGCTAAGCAGGAATTCAATCAATTTGCACTCTGCGCCCTATTCTTTATAGTTTTCGACTTTGCCCCTTAAAGTTTACAAATTGTTACACATTATACCCAATAAATTTATGACTTCTTTTTTTAGCCAAAAAAACAAAAAACCAATAGGTAATTTATGATTTTTTTACCTAAGACGATTGAGGTCCATACTAGTGATTTTTTGTTGGATTTTTGTAGGATTTAGGGTGAGGTGAATGATAGAGAAGAAGAAGAAAGAAGCAATTTTAATCTCTTGCAAGGTAAAGTTTTTTGTGGATTTCAAGGAAAGAGAATAAATAGAGAAACTGCTTAGATGAGTGCGCGTCTCAGCACTCCCAGTCCCAGAGGGCGGGTGTACTGTGCGTGTAAATTCCATTGTTGAACACATCTGACAATGTTGTTTCCCTTTTATTTTTTTCATTTTCTCTTTTCCTCCTCTCTCTCTTCTATTTAGGTTCTAAAAAATTGTGCAAAAACCAAATTGATGTGGATTAAAAGCATGTTTGATTAGGAATGGCAATGAGACGGTTAAAAATAGAAAATGAGATTAGATCTTATTCGGAATTAATTCAAAATTGAATCAAGCCCGAGCCTAGACTTGCTATGTATGCTAGTATGTTAGTAATGGGTTTTAGAAAGTATTTGAGTTTGTCTCTGGCTAATTTTGACAATATTTTGGTGCCTTTCGACTTTGATTATTTTAATATATTTTGGTTTGTGTTCAGTTTTCAAGTTATTATGTTTTGTTTTATGTACATTAAAATTGAATATAATTTATAAATTCTTGCTAAGAAAAATTGTCAGTTAAACTTGTTCGAGTCTAATAGATTATATTTACCAACTCAACAAATCCCATTGATCAAAGATTGTATGTGCAAGGAAATTGCCTAAAGAACAATTTGGCAAAACTTCCTAAACCTAAATATAATATAGTAAACCTTGAATCTGCAACTCCAAGCAATGCTAAACCCTACTAGAAACTGCACCCAATAGCCTAAAGATGATATCAACATGTATACTCGAAAACCAGTGCACACTCTCGAGTAGTGGCTGCGGGTTTTCCTCATCACCCAATAAAAAACCAATATAGCAATGAATTGTGAACCTCGGGTTTTTGTGATGTATATACCAACCTAAGAGCCTATAGATGAAATGGTAAGAGAATTCAGAATCTACAGCAGAGAATACTGTGCCTCCAGCCTTTCTTCTGCGGTTTTGCCATTCTTACGGGGCTGCCATTCCACTCTGATTGTAATCTGGGAAAGAAAACATTTTTTTTTTCGGTTTCAAGAATGTTGGATTAGTGTCATTGAACAAGGGGTGGGAGGGCGGGATGGACTTACACCGGGAAGGCAAAGGATCGGGTGCTCGTTGTGCTACTGTCTGAACGAAGAGAAATGCTCCCCGAGTATGCAACTAGACCTGCTGCAGAGAAACTAGTCTCCCCGTCTGTAAACCGATCTGATCTGCTGCTGGCAATCAAAAGGTAATTGGAGGCCTTATCCTCAGGATTAGGCCTATCTTCTAACTCGGGCAGTTGCCCACGAGCATTGTGGCTGCACGGGATGGCGTTCGAGGCTGAAGTTTTATCAGAATTCTCTACCCCGTGCAAAGGCTCTGAGATGAGGACAGGTTCGGGGAGGTTTTCAGCGTTTTTCTCAGCTGTGTTCGTCTCTTCAGAAGGCATCTGGAAAGCGAGGAATGACAGAATATCAAGAAAACTACTATAAGTATCCACCCTTGAATTTTAACCATAACATTAGTGATTTTCAAGAACAAACCTGAGAATTCTGTTCATTTGTTGATTCTACAAAAGCATCCTTAGCAGTGCCTTTGCTATCATCGACTTCTGAGGAAAATTCTCGACGATCTGGAACAATTGGTTCGATATCTTCCTTTTCCTTTGTTGTACATTCATCAGCAACATCACCACCATCGACGTCTCTTGGTTTTGATTGATCTTCAGAGAGCAATTTACTGTCATCATCTTCTTGGATATCACGGTTTTTGTCTTGATCATCGCCTGTCCACCTTTCGATTGAAATCTTATCCACACCACGAGCCCCCTCATCGACACAGATGTCTTTGACAACATTGTACACTGTTAACTCATGGAGCTCACATTTAATAACACTGTTGTCGGGATCTGAGTGTGAAAACTCTGCTGCAGATGATATGTCAGACGAGAAAATTTGATCTTTACGATCAACGGATGAGCCAAGCGGGGAGATTTCAAGCCCGGGATCATTGGAATCAAACGCCGCTTTCTCTTCAAAGAAAACCAAATCTGCCTCCTCCTTGCAAAGACTCGAATGACAGAAAACTCGAGGCTGCTGATCTTCCTTCATACTCGTTTTCTGGTCTGGTGTATCGTTGGGGGCACCGATTTAGCATTTCAATGGCTTAAAATCATGCCCATAAGTTGCTAGAATTGAACGACACAACACCCGATCATTATCTGCAGCCCAAATCGAACTCACAATGCTCATACCATCTCGAAAAAACAAAAGATTCAATGGATTTTAACAACCAACAGTACAAAAACATAACATAAGAGCTTCCAAAAGTACCAGGTTTCATAGCTCAGACCAGCTGGAAGAGTTTAGGAGAGCAAAAATCCATCTGGCAAACAAGACTTTAATTTCAAGAAAGCTGCAAATTCTCCATAGAATACCTTGAGCTAATGATAAACCGAGCACATCTGCCATGAATCATCATGAGCTATGACAGGTTAGTAAAAAAGGCAGCACAGCACAGCACAAACAAAATGTGATAACGGGCATAAGGCGATATAATGATGACATATTCCTGTATAGAAATTGACGATGAGCGCCCACCACAAAGAGAAAGAAAAGGCACAACTAGACCGTTAGCACTAGGCGAAATGAAAATAAGAAAAAACAATATAACATAATGACAAGCAAGTAAGTTGAGTTGCATAGAGGGTTGGTTATAATTAAGAGAAAAAGACATCCATTAACTACAACCAGTAAAGATTGAGTTGCCTCATTGAAATCACAGTTATCTACCAAGAAAAAATAAGGTTTCCACTAAAATCACTTATCCAAAAGAAAATTATGGCCAAGAAGGATTATAGGCATAGTCTTTTCTTGCTTTTCACTATTTGCATCATATACTTTTTTTCTTTCCCATCTTTTCCTCTCTGCACTCTTTCCCCAGCCACCATACCCCATTTGCCTTTGGAACTTTTGACCTGGCATGGTAAGAATAAAGTAGCTGATGAAAGATACTCTCATTTGGGCTCCATTTTTTTTTCTTTTGATACATTATGTTTACGTAGACTAATCTTAAGCCCCAGAACCCTTGTCCAAGAATCGCTCCCGGTCAATTCCCAGGTTTTCACACCTTGCCTATATAGTCTATGCAGAAGGGCCTTCATCACCTCTAATCGGTCCAAAGTGCCCCAGTTTTTTTAACCCTTTGTTTAACCTTCTCATTTAGGCATAAGTAATTAAGTAGTAGTCCAATGTTTTGGCACCACTATGGAGAATCTTGAACTTGTCCAAAGAACAGAGAAAGACAAGAAAAGACTCCAACTTTTCTTTTATAATTTACCCCAAACACTCACTTCTTTGTCCTTTTTTGCCCTCAGTCACACTCAATTCTATTCACAATCCAGATCTAATTTTAACCATTTTTTCAATCAATCCACCTGGAAAGGCAAAGAACATAATAGAAACAAAATCCTAAAAATCCCAAAAAGATTCATTTAAAAAAAATAATATTACCTGCCCAAACTCTACCAAAAGAAACTTCCTTTTTCACCTCTCAGAACAACACAAGAATCTTGGATTTCACTGCAGAGTTTCAAGTCAATAATCATCAGATTAAACAATCCAAAACTTTAGCAGATAACAAGGAAAAAAACAAAACAAACCCACAATCATAATACCCATAAAAATCCCACCTTTACAACCCAAGTGGATCACTGGACCACCTCAGCTCCAACACACAAAAGCTCCCTTTGAACACACACATATATACACAGAGAGGAAGAAGACACCATCTGGGTTTCTGTGGAGAGAGGTGATAAATGCAGTGGCCGTGAAAGATCATCACACAAACATGAATATAAGCAGAAGAAAGAGAGAAAGAAGGAGAGAGAGAGAGAGAAAAGTGGCAGCCAGTCATATTAGGATTACTTTCAGAAAAAAAAAGGGTCAATTTTCTCACTCTCTCAGTCCCTTTCTCTCTCTCTCTCTCTTTCTTTGCCATCGATAATCATCAATTAATACTCCGTATAACCTGAGCTGTACATAGTCATAACGTGCAGTGCATGAAGAGGGGCTAATAAATGAAGAGGCAGTTCACAGAAAGACGGATAGTATTAATTGCTGCCGCAGAAAGCAGTCAAAAAGATTAAAAGAAACAAAAAATAAAATAAAATAAAGAGAATCTCCGGTACACCGGAGGAATCAAATCCGATCATCCAAATACCACAAAGCAAGATTATTAAAACTAAAGGATTTTGAGTACATGGTTAAATTATGATTAAGATATGTTTAAGGTTGATTGCATGTTTACGTAGAGTTCTACTTGGACAGATATTCTGACAATGGAATCAAAGGAAGAACAGAAGTGGAATGGGAAAGACTGAAACAGGAAGATGTCTTTTGATTTTGTCGGCCGATGGGGACAAATACAAAGCGGCCAAACTAAGAGAAGTGATAAAAAAAAAAATGAAGTTGTTGATGCCCAGGATCGAACTGGGGACCTTCAGTGTGTAAGACTGACGTGATAACCACTACACCACACCAACAAGTTGATGAACAAAAGCTCTAAATGAAGAAAGGAAGATAAAGCTGGACTCCAACCAAGACGATTAATTGATCAGCTCCGGCAAAAGATAAATGTTGATGCCCAGGATCGAACTGGGGACCTTCAGTGTGTAAGACTGACGTGATAACCACTACACCACACCAACTCAATGGGAAACAAAACGAAACATATATATTCATCACTAAGTCTTTGGTTGATGGGTTTTGCTCATAGTAATAGGTAGGGGTGTCAATACGGGCCGGTCCGCCTCATTAGGCCCGCCCCACTACGGGTTTTTTATTTGGCGGGCCGGCCCGCGGGCTTGGAACTATAGAACTCGAGCCCGCCCCATGCGGGCTTGCGAGTCTCACGAGCCATCACTTAAATTTAAAAAATATATATTAAATAGTATATAAACATGTTAAAACCGCTTGAAATATGGCACCGGAAACTTCCATAAAATCCATAAACCTCACCCAAATCTCCCGGATCGATACCGCGCGTTCAGCAGAACTGTAGAAGGGTGATAAAGCTAGGGTTCAACAGCACACTCTATTTCTCTCTCGGCTTCAAATTTTCCCTCTACAATTCCCGTCTGTGTATAATACATATATAAATATGTATGTTTGCTAGACTTGGAGGCGATTCAGAAATTCATAAATATGTATGAATTGATGATTTAGTTTTAGTAATTATTTGATTGGAGTTGGAGGAAGGATGGAGACGGGAGAACCGAAGAACTACGTACTCTAGGAATTATTGAATTACGAATTGGCGAAGGATTATTGAATTATTGGATTTCTCCCCTTCTGCGTACTCTTAGATAGTTAGATCTACACATTGCCTAAGAATTAAGATATTATATATATGATTTAAAAAAAAGATATTATATATATAATTTATTTATTTATTTTTTAAATATGGCATGGCCTGCGGGCCGGCCCGCAACCCGCGCGGGCTCTGGCCCTCCGCGGACCATGCCCGTTAGGCCCGCATTTTCGTGAGCCTAATTTCTTGCAGCCCTAACCCGCCCCATTGCGGGGCGGATGCGGGCTAACCCGCGGGCTTCGGCCCACTTTGACAGCCCTAGGAATAGGTATGAAAGTGATTGTTATTGTTTGGTTCATAGGTTTTTAGAACACTATTATGAATTTCGAATACCCTATCAATTGAAAAATCCATACCCAAATAAAATAAGGGTTTCATTCCATCATTCATTCTCAAGCACTACTATTAGTAACCATTCTCATTCCACCCTACTATCAAACATATTAAATACTTTCACCAAAACCCATTACCATTACCAAGTATTTGATACCCATTCCGATTCCGATTCCCATGTACGAACCCAACACACCGCCAAAAAGACAAGTATAAATAGGATGTTGGCAAACAAAAATGTGATGTTTATGTTCAGTGCGATTATGCGAAGGATCCTCATTATCATTTCCTCAAAGTTGATTATATAGGTCGGATTCGACTTGCTCTATTGGGCATATTCATAGATAATCTATTCATTATATATGTGGTGTGGTTTATTCAAAAATTTATAAGACTTTATGTATTATTAATTTTGGCCTCTTAACAAAGCCGTTAACCATTATAGTGTAAGATACTACTATTGAGATTTGAGATGAGCATATAACACATTTAACCTAGGCAATAACAAGCTTAATTCCAAAATCTCACAAAACCCCCTCAATCATGATGCTATGGAAAACAACACTATAATTAATTAGAACCAATATATTCATTCCATTTCTTTCAAATTAAAACACTATGAAAGTGTGACATGCTATCTTCAACATATGCATCATTGCACGGACCATCCATCAAGAGGCCACAACACAGAAAGTCATGTGATGATTCAACTTATGTCAGCAATATAACATAATTAATTAACCTGTATTTCCTAAATAAAAAAAAAAAAAAAAAAAAAAAAAAAAAAAAAGCTTGTGTGCAGTAGCACAACTACCCACCAGGGCACCATAAATAACCTCTGCAACATTATATTGTGGACCTTGTGGTGTGTGTAAGTGTAACAACATTAGGGCAAGCAGGCTAAGGTCCATTATGAGGAAAGTAATTATTACACGAATTTATAAAACATTCATTAAGATCTTGAGAACATAAATGTATCATTACCGAAATATGCTAACAAGTAAACCTTAAATACAATGTTGGCTGAAAAATAGTATGTTTTCAATCTGAATACTTCATCTTAAATAACAATTTTTTTTTTTCCATCTGGTTGTGAGAACTGAGAAATAACAATGCAAATTAAACATTACTATTCCTAGTTTAACGTTTAAGGTTAATTAATCTATTATTCATAGTACCTTTTAGTATGCACAATCACCTACTTGCATGGTTGGGGTTTTTGTCATTAAAGTGTGTTTAATATATACAAGAATCTTTAATTTGGCCAAACAAAAGGTACAATAAGCTAGCTCTCCCATAATTTGGACGACATTGTACTATGGGAGTCAAATGATGCGAGTACGCACTGGACTGTCCGATCTTTTGATGTTTTATCATCATATCGTCGGTCTGCCCACATCATATCACATGAAAAAGCATCTGATCTGAAAAGATTAAAACTTTCAATGATTAATATGCCCATCCAATAACCCACAAATCAATCAGAATCTAAAGTCATATCAAGTGCGCACATGATTCGATCTTATGACTTTTTTTTCTGCAAAATTTGATCATTATTGTGATTTCCATTAGACATATATGAATGTTTAATGCTTCATGCATGTCTATGATAATGATAAAGTAAACACATTACGAGAAGATGGGACTTACCAAATTTTATATTAATTTAATAAAAATTATGTTTTTAACTTGGTTTAGTAATCACAAAAACAAAATTTATCAGGTGCACATTTTCATATAGTAGTTGTAGGTTCTCTCATCACCATACTCAAAAAATATCCACTAAATCAAACAATAAGATATTAAATCACCATTTTATCTAACACCAAATCAAACCTCATTGTGATGTTCGAATGAGAACCCTTCTTTTTCGTGAGAACTTGCGAATTTGTACATAAATGCACAAAAGCGTCTATATATGTAAAATACTCCCCTGAAATAGTTTGTGTGCATTTACGTAGATGCTTATTATATATAAGTTTCAGTGGTCAGGCCCGACCTTAATGTGCACCATTAGGTATGCAAACACACATCAATAGTGTTAAGAAACGCACACAAAAAAAAAGTACCATTATGTATTCATAAACGCACCAGACAGTGTTCGTATACACACAATTAGGTGCATTTTTTTTTGGATGTGTGGTGCATTTCATTGTTGCACGTTTTAAACACTATTAGTGCGTTTTATATACCTAATGGTGTAGACGCACTGCTGAAAATTATGGAATTTTCAATCACCGAAAGTGATCTTAAATCAAGTCGAAAGCAAAAAAGTGGTCGGAAATAGTAACAAAGGTTTTTTCGGATACCAAAGGTTTTTAAGATCACTTTCAGGTGATCAGAAATTTCCAGTAGTGTCGTACTGATCGCACATTAAGACATGACCGCATTTGAGCTGACATATGTATATGTATATGTATATGTATATATATAGCAGCATAGTGGTTGCCTAGACATCACAAAGAATTGAAACACCAAAAGCTCCATCCAAGTCCATAGCCATGCCTGCACCATCTGACGACCGTAATGCCTCAAACTCTTTGTTACCTCACTATTTACAAGAAGACTTTGGCACCCAAGCTTTTAGAGAACTGATCAGTTCACTACCCAGAGAGAGAGGATGGCTCACTCCAAATATCTACAACTACAAAGGCTTCTGGCTAGGCGCTTTCCATCTTCAAGGTGCTCTGAGGTTCCAACAACATTTCCAGGCTCAAGATTCCGATATTATGCTCATCACCCTCCCTAAATCCGGCACCATCTGGTTGAAAGCTCTCGTATTTGCGTTGATCACTCGAGAACAATTCCTTGCGTCGCAAGAAACCCCCCACCCTTTGCTCACAAACAACCCTCACGAGCTCATTCCCTTCGTGGATGTTTCTTATGCAAGAGAGCCCACCCCAGATTTCCCTCCCATCAGCAATGGCGTGAAGGTGAGGGTGGTTTCTACGCACTTCCCGTACGCGTTTTTGCCGGAATCTGTCCGGAAAACGGACTGCAAGCTGATTTATCTTTGCCGGAGCCCCAAGGACACGGTGGTGTCGTACTGGCACTTCGCGAATAGGATGAGGGGAGAGAATAATGAAATGAAAGAGATATCGCTTGAAGAGGCGGTGGAGAATTATTGCCGGGGAGTGAGCCTGGGAGGGCCGTTCTGGGATCACACGTTGGGGTACTGGAAAGAGAGTTCGGAGAATCCTAGGAAGGTGTTGTTCGTGAAGTACGAGGAAATGAAGGAGAAGCCCGAGGTTCATCTGAGGAGATTGGCGGCGTTCTTGGGGTGTCCGTTCTCCGAGGAGGAAGAAGAGGGCGGGGTGGTCGGAGAAATCTTGAGGCTTTGCAGCTTTGATAACCTGAGCGGGTTGGAGGTTAACCGGAGCGGTAAGGGCGTGTTTGGGACCACGAACAGTGTGATGTTCAGGAAAGGTGAGGTTGGAGATTGGAGGAACCACTTGACAGATGAAATGGCCAGCAGAGTTGATCAGATTGTTGAAGAAAAGTTCAATGGATCAGGGCTCAAGCCCTAATGATCATCACTAAAACTGCTACTTTTCTTTATTGTCAATGTATTTCGATCTTTTGTTGCAAATTACATGTGTTAGTTTCAATATTATGATTGTGACAAAAAATATGTGATGAATTTTTAATGATTTATAGCTATGATAAACTGGAGATATTGTTCCAAAAGGATGAATGAACAGAACCAACACAACATGATTCTCGTATTAGAAATTAAGTTTCCTAAATCAGCAGAGAACACAATTCTCCACTGGAACGAAACCACGGGTCATATCATATTGTAGGCTAGTGAACTGTGCATTAGTGCACTTAGTGAAATGCATCGTAAGACGTTATGATGTTGATGGTGTTTGAATGTACAACCAGAGAGTTATCGATGGATGACATTCGATATAGGAATGCACGACATTCTGTATAGGAATGTACAATTCTAATAAGAATAGTTTATCCCTAACCTTATATTTTCAAATATTTTAGAGATTTTTTTCCTTAATTCGTGCGATTCCTTAATCCATGTGATTTTTGTATTGTGAACAAAAATATGGAATGAATTTTTAATAATTCATAGTTATGATAAAGTGGATATACTATCCAAAAGGTTGAATGGACTGAACCAACAAGGAGATAAAACATTATTCTTCTACTAAAATGCTCCTTAAATTAACAGAGAACATGATTCCCCACTTGTGACGAGACCATCGCCAAATATATATATGCTGCCCCGGGCCACTGCCATGGCCTAGAAATATACCTCACTCAATATATAACATCCCCAAATTAAAGCTCCAAAACCATGTGCTTTGTTGACAATGAAAGCACAACAAAAGTCAGTCCATTTGGTACACCTATATCTGCCCACTTCCATCCATCCAAATTCCAAAATGCTTCTTAATATTCTGCAGGAAAACACCATCATCAATACCAACAACTACCACAACCATCACCACACCGTGGCCACCACCATATTATTATTATTATTATTATTATTATTATTATTATTATTATTATTATAACAAATAAAATATTTATTTTCAAGAAAATAAACCAAACAGAAAAAAATGTAATTTCTTAACTTTCAGTCGAACACAAAAAGATAATTTTAAGACATTCAGCCAAACACAAGAAAATTAAAATATTTTTCTAGAAATGAGTCATTTTCTATAAATCATTTTTCAGGTTTCTAAACCTGCATACCCTTTGATCATTGTGTAATTGATGTTAAAGTGTTATCTTAAAATCTTAAAATAAAATTAAAAGAAAATAACAAGCACCCTAGTGTCAGTTATAACAAACAAAAATATAATTAAACCACCTTTGCAAACCAACACTAGATCTCTTGCCGAAAACTTTTTGAAGGTGGGAACTTAAGCAACTCTTGCATTGTACTTTTTATTGGTAAATTGATATTTTTTTATTATATTTTTTATATAATAAGTGCCAAAAAAGTAATTAAATATGAAAACAATATAAGGTTTATTGCAATCCTGACGAGATAGGAGATATCAAGAAAACTAGAGAAGCACAAATTAAACTATCTATATATTAGGTTGAGACTTGGAGATACGTACAGTTCAACATCTTGCCATCCGACTGTAAAACTGACTGTTATGTAAGCGCAAATTATGCCCTGGAAACGTGTTCACCGTGAATGGTGAACACAAGTCCAAACGATGTCGTTTTTAGGCAAAAAAAAAAAAAAATCGCGGATGTGGAGTTAACGGCGCGCGTTTGATCAAATTATGAATTTTCTGTTATGAGATTATGAATGTAATGAAAATTCATAATCTCATAACAGAAAATTCATAATCGCATAAAAGTAAAATATTTATTAAATTATAAATTTTCTGTTATGAGATTATGAATGTAATGTAGATTCATAATCTCATAACAGAAAATTCATAATCTCATAACTGAAAATTCATAATCTTATAACAGAAAATTCATAATCTTATAACAGAAAATTCATAATCTCATGGTTCCAAAGTGAATGTGTAGGCATGGTTCCAAAGTGAATGTGCAGGCATGGATTCATAATTTATGAATGTTCGTGATTTCGGACAGGAATGTGTAGGCATGGTTCCAAAGTGAATGTGCAGGCATGAATTCATAATTTATGAATGTTCGAAATCATTGCTCACCTCAAATTAAAGTGAAACCGCGAAATGTAAAAATGAAGAAGAAAAGTCACGCAATTAATTAAAAAAAAAAAATAACGGTGTACTAACACCGTTGGAACCGTGTTCACCATGAACGGTGAACACGGTTCCATGGCATAACGATTGGTTATGTAAGTATACAAACATAAAGTTATGTAAGTGCTTAATCCTAAATGGGTATTTGGGTAACATATAAGAAATATATATATAAATTTGGTGTCTCCCATTGTAGATCCAATAATAAACATGCACTTCAATATAAATAACAATACATAACTTATTTATATACAAAAAACAACATACACATGTAAATATAAATTAAATAACAGTACACACTACATACTCGCAAACAGACAAACATTAAATATAGGATCTGATCATAACATGAGTCCTGTCCCTGTGAACTTTTCCTGGACAATTTGATCAAGTCTCCTCGCCATTTCTTCTGTCATATGGTTACTCCAATCCCCAACCTTACCTTTCCTGAATAACACACCATTCTCAACCCCAAGATCGCCATTAACACTAGTCTTGTTAACCTCCAAATTGCTCAAGCTTTCAAAGCTACAAAGTCTCAAGATTCCACTTACCACACCACACTCTTCTTCCTCCTCAGAAAATGGACACCCCAAGAACGCCGCCATTCGCCTCAGATGAACCTCCGGCTCTTTCTTCATCTCCTCATACTTCAAGAACAACACTTTCCCAGGATTCTCCAGGCTCTCTTTCCAGTACTCCGATACATGATCCCAGAAAGGCCCGGTGTTACACACTCCCCTGCAATAACTATCAAACGCCTCCGGGAAAGGCATAGCTTCGAGGCCTCGAAGCTCACTCCTCAGCTTATTCATGAAGTGCCAGAACGACACCACGGTGTCTTTCGGGTTCCTGCACAGATAAACCACCTTGCCCTTTGATTCCCACACAGATTTTGGCAACAAAGAGACCGGCAAATGCGTAGCCAATAGCCTCGACCCGTTAGTCAAGGCAAAATCTGGTCTCTCTTTTGCTGCATAAGACAATTCCAAGAAGGGAATGAGGTCATGAGGGTTGTTTGTGTGTAAAGGGTGGGTTTCTTGCTCCGCAAGGAACTGTTTTCGAGTGATCAATGCAAATGCCAGAGCTTTCAACCAAACAGTGCCGGATTTAGGGAAGGTGCTTAGTATAATATCAGAGTCTTGAGGCTGGAAATGTTGGTGGATTGTAAGAGCACCTTGCAAGAAAAAGGGTTCCAACCAAAACCCTTTGTAGTTGTACAAATCAGGAGTGAGCCAACCTGTTTCTTTGGGTAGTGAATTGAGAAATTCTCTAAACTCTTCAGTGTAAGAGTTTTCTTGTAAAAATTGAGACAAAGATGATGGTGAGTTTGAGATATTATTTTCAGATGGCGTAGCCATGGTTATATGTTTTTGCAGCTATGAAAGTTATTCTATATATATATATAGAGAGAGAGAGTGGTTTGGTTAGGCAATGACAGAAGATATGAGTTTTGAATGGTTTATGGCAATGATAGAGTAAAGACGCTAAGAAACGATTAAAATGACAAAATTTATAATATATTGATTTAATTATGAATACCAAAGCAATCTCTAAGATACAGAATCACAATTTGATCGTTAATTTGATTATCCTTACCTAACCAGTTTTATTAATTGCAAAAATAGTAAAATTTTGCAGTATCGAAGAACTAATTTTATGAATTGATAGTGTATGAGTAATTTGAAACTTATGGCATAATCAATGTACCGTGTTGAATATTAATCCGATGAAAACCCATCAGGAGTATGCATTATTAAGGGGCAATCTAGACAAGTTGGTCGATCAGAGATTGTTGGCTTTATAACCACAACTTTACAAGTTTGACTTTCAATATGATTAACATTTTTGTTTTGAGCTGGTTAGCTATGGGTAACTTAAAATAGTTTACTTCTAAGGACACTTGACAAGAATAGCTTCATCGTCCGACCTCCTTAGGGCACGTGGAGAACATGCTGAGCACTCGTCATGTATTCCCTCTCTCATCCCTATATAAAGGACAATTATTTCACATGGAGGGGGACTTTTGTTACGGTTCTAACTTGCACCACGCTACTCGGAGCCTCCCGACCTCAAGTGGTCAGGTTTCAATTAATTTCTTGGTCATACCAACCACCTTTAATTTATTAATCTTCCCAACCTCATGTGGTCGGACCTTTATTTAACTTCACAATCATATTATTTCATCTATAATAGAGTTCCTTGACATATTTACCCAACCCGAAACAATTTACTCTATCAATGGCTTCACTCCAAAACTTATCAAACATTAGAAATCGATGTGGGACCATATCATTGCTTATCCCTAAAAGAATTACTAGGTAACTTTTTTTTTTTTTTTTCTTTCTCCCTCTCTTTGAAAATCTTTTTGTTCGACCTTATCAAAATATCAAGTATTTCTATCCAAAGTTGTCCCTCCACTAGATCGATATTGAACGAGTAAATGACTTCACTCCAGATAGCTCTTACTCTGAATTCCTAGGTTATTAGGACTATAGCATTTGTTTAAATAAAAATAATGTTGATAATAATTATAAAATATTTTTAAAATAACCGGAAAATAATAAAAAAGAGTTAGTCGTAGTGGTAATAATTCTCTATGGGCCGGGCATATGGAGAAGTACAAAAATACTTTTTAATGGCCCAGCCCAATAATGATCTGATCCAACAAATTAAGACGATTACAGAACTGGAATGTCCAAAAAGCCCCCGGCGAGGATCGAACTCGCGACCTTTCGCTTACGAAGCGAACGCACTACCACTATGCTACGGAGGCATTCGGTCTACTTTCTTTTTATTATTATACTTATTCTATATATTTATTTATTATGTCAGATAATGATATTTTATAAATTTTATAATTCTATCCAATTTATTGAGATCTACACTTTTTTTTTCTTTTCATTTTTTTTTTAAATCTCTCTTTCCTACTTTGTTATGAGAAAGCCAAACTACTCCTGGAGATTCTTTTAGTTACAAAAATGTAAAAACAAAATAAACCAGCCATGGACTTATGGGATATAGGTAATATCACTTCACTAATACTATATATACACCCATTATTTACTCCCTGTTGAGGTGTCATCCTTTGATTGATTTAATAACAAAGTAGGCTACTATTTTTATTCATTCATTTTAATTTATAATTTATTAGAACACGTAACGGGAATTATACTCCATAGTTAGACCTATCCCATCAGTACAATTGAAGCTAATGGTAATATGGTATGGTTTGGAGAGCAATTTAAAACAATAAATAAATAAATAAATCCATAGTCCGAGTGCTATTTAAAACGGAAAAAGCAAAATAAGATGTGAAATATCATTAATTGCCTAGATTAATTATAATTGAGTTAATACCCAAAATCGTCCTCGACTATAGTGGTTTTTCTCAATTTCGTCCTAAACGACTTTGGTGACCTAATATCGTCCCAGACTTTTGTGTTTCGCTCAATTTAGTCCCCCATTTGTTATTGCGTCAAATTGGTGTTAAATATAGGGACAATTCAGTAATGTCAATATTGATCTCTCTTTACTTTCAACTTGTGAAGTGCGAAATTCCTTTTTCTTGTACGAATTACACCCAGAATTACTCCCGGACCTTGCAAATCAAATTTTATATTCGCAGTTTTAGGAGTAATTCTGGGAGTAATTCATAAAAAAAAAAGGGATTTCGCAGATCACATGTCTATGAGTAAAGAGATGCCAATATCAAAATTACTGAATTGTCTATTTATTTAACACCAAATGGACAGAATAACAAATGAGGGACTAAATTGAGCAAAAACACAAAAGGCTAGGACTAAATTGAGCGAAACACAAAAGTCTGGGACGATATTAGGTCACCAAAGTCGTTTAGGACGAAATTGAGAAAAACCACTATAGTCGAGGACGATTTTGGGTATTAACTCAATTATAATTTCTAAAGAACAATAGTATATTACAAAGGAGTTTAAAAAGTCACCTCACTAATCTAAAATACAAATTTACTAGCACCTTATAATTTAAGATACAGGACCAAATTTAATTATCCTGATTTAACCCAACTCATCTATAAACAGATATCCTAAAAAGGAATATTAGTTGCATAGACCTCATAGAATATGATTCAATTCATACTGATGAACCTCGAGAGCCTCGAAAGATTGCACATTTAATGGCTGCAAGATTTTACGGTGTTGCACATTTAGATCGTCGTATTAATATTGACCACATCCTCATCGCAACACTCATAGAGAGATGACAGCGGGAGGTGCATGCCCTAGCTTTCATTATACCAAAATATGAAACATAATTAGTTTCTTAAAATGATTCAAATAGAAAACACATTATAAATTATAAATCTCATTATTAATATATAAAAAAAATTGCGTATATTATATTTAAAAAATAAAAATATCACTATTAATATTTCTAAAATATAAAAATTGTTGGATATGGGCGAAAAATCAAGACAATCAAAACTTTAAAAAAAAATTATTTATACCAAAATATAAAACATAATTAGTTTGATAAAATGATGATTCAAATACAAAACACACTATAAATTATACATCACACTATTAATAGAAATATATATATATATATATATATATATATATATATATATATATATATATATATATATATATATATATATATATATATATATAGTCGCGTTCAGGTGCGAATAAGTGTCCAGGAGAAAAAAGCGAACCAATCAGCGCGCGTCACGTGTCAGCATTCATTGATCGGGTGCACCTACTTTCACTTACAAGTGCACCTACTTTCGCCTGCAAGTGCATGTAGTTTTTGCCTGCATTCATTGATCGGATGCACCTACTTTCACCTACAAGTGCACCTACTTTCGCCTGCAAGTGTATGAAATTTTGCCTTGTTAACATTCATTGATATGAGTTCGTTCTGTTTGGCATCGTTTTTGTTCTTGCGGGGAGTTCAACAGGTAGTAGTACCCGTGAAAGCCACCCACAAACATTCATGCACCTAGGTGCAACTACTTATAACTATAGATGCACTTAGTATTGATGCTCGGTGTAAATTTTATTTGCATCTATAATACATTTTACATGCACTTGTAATACATTTTACTTGCACTTCGATGTTCAATTATTTACGAAAATACCACCGCATTTAAAAAAAAAAAAAAATCAGTGTTTCTCATCCACTTGGACACGTGGACGGATATCAGGCATTCGCATATTCGCACCTGGGCGCTCCATTTGCACCAGAGTGCAATTCTATATATATATATATATATATATATATATATATATATATATATATATATATATATATATATATATATATATATTGGTTCAAACACGGACAATGTTTCTCATGTGGCCGATGCAAATTTATTATTGAGTGCAAAAATATACCACGTACAATGTTCGAAAATGTACCACACACTATAAAATACACCAAATCATAACACACTTAATGGTGCATTTTTGAAACCTTTGTGATATATTTATACCTTTGGTTCACGGAATGTTAGATTGCTAGCTCGGAATGTTAGATTCCTGTGTTTAATTAAAATTGAGGTATATAATATAATCATGTTTGGTTTAGGGTTATGAGTTATCAATGACAAACCAAGGTTATCTTATATAACCTAAGAAATTGAAGGGAATCACATTCCCTTCAAAATTCTATGTGGAGAGAATGTGACATTATTTGGAAATTTTAAATTCCTTAAGATAATATGAACCAACATTATAATGTGAGTTTTGAAATGTCACATTCCTTAGTTATGTTATATAACTTGAATCAAACGCTCTCTTCGTGGTGCACGTGACACATCACCTTCCATGAGTTCCATCAGAGCTATCATTAATCAATGAATCACATGGTCAGTCAGGCCTCAAGTCCTAGATAAATCAATACCAGTGAGACATCAATGACAACATGCGTTTAAAATAAAAAAAAAAATGAAAATACCACTAGCAATCTTATTATTTACTTTCAACTTTTATTTTCATACTTAAAATATTAATGTAGATACTTTTATAAGAATTCACATGAAAAAAATAACTTATCAAGAAATAAAATTTAGAAATACATGTAACATAATTCTTTTAAAAAAGAAGTTAAATACTAGATAGTCGTTGCACATCAAATTCTTGGACCATCTTATAAAAAAGTTGAAGTCTTATTTAATTCATTTTCTCCGAAGCCTATAGTTTCCTGCGAGTACTTGTATGTTTGTTCTTTTGTTTTTTTTTTGTTTTTGTTTTTTTTTTTTTTTTGTTTTTTGTTTTTGTTTTTGTTTTTGTTTTGTTTGTTTGTTTGTTTGTTTGTTTGTTTTTGTTTTTTTTTTTTTGTTTTTTTTTTTTGTTTTTTTGTTTTTTTTTGTTTTTGTTTTTGTTTTTTTTAATGTTTGCATGTCAGAATTAACCT